AAAAAATAAAATATGGTATTGTATCTATAGCTTTCGTCTCCGTGAACTTTATGCCCATTTTTTAATAATTCGTGAAGATAGGTAGAGTTTCGTAACATTTGCATATATAGTCATATTCAGATGATGTCTCTACATATATGTAAGGGCAAGCTTCTTCCCTTTGTTTAGTCAGTAGGTGTCCTCCTCGCTATGAATGTGGAACACTGGCTTTAGGGTTACATATGAATCTTGTTATCATTGTATTTTAATGCGATTTGAATATTATTATTTACTATCGTACTTACTTATTGTTTTAAATGAGACGTTTAAATTTAGATGTCACCACAAATTACAATTATTGCTTGTACGTTCAACACAATTGACAAATACTCTAAAATATATGACTAGTAAACCATTAATGTACGTTGAAAATGCCAAAATGATGTATCCAGGATCAAGTAGAAGATATATGGACAGCAGCGCTGGAAATTTATTCAACAGGCCCGTGAAAACAACACTGCTTTAGCTCAATGTTTACCACTCCTGGCGGCCATTATGCGACGGCCATCTTACACACAACCCCGTGCTCACGTCTACGGTCTCTTCCTGTGGTACGGTAATTAGTATAGCCCTCTCCCTCAAGTGTATCCTCCAGGATATATTCTACTCTCATTAATTACATGCTGCCCTTTCCCAGCGTCACGACTATGGAGCTGAGACGAAGAGGCCCAACCATCATAAAGTAATTAGGGTCCAATAAAAACAATGCTCCACCAAACCTCATAAACATGATCACTGAAAGTCGTACTACAGACGCTTAATGTCAAATCACAAAAAAGCATTTGAATAGCAATAACATGTAACAGGAACATGTATTCTCTTTACACCATCGCAAGACACCATGTAATCACATCTAAAAATGAAACATCAGCAAGTACATATAATAAAATGTGTATTAACATTTTTCGTCAGGAAATCAAAAGGTTATCTCCTTGTTACCACCTCCAGGTTCAGCTGGACATGCTCATGGGTCCTCCTTTAGTCAAAAGTTTGTTCCCTCTCTAATGAGTGTGACACGCGTTGCACACGGGTATCACAAGAGTGGCGGACTGGTTCCACACGAGTTGCACACGGGTATCACAAGAGTGGCGGACTGGTTCCACACGAGTGACCAACGGGGTGCACACGGGTTGCGTAACGCGTTGCCCATGCGTGTAAGGGGAATGAACTTCTAGGCAGTAGTGTACGTCATCTGTGGGATTTGCGTTGAAAACTACGATATCCGTGGTCTGCTGTCCAAAGATACCGTCCAAAATCATGACGCTACCGCCGCCGAATGGCACGACCTCCCGAATGCAACAACGTGCCTCGACTGAAAAGCTGGAATCGAATTTCGGCAGGACAGACAACCTGTTTCCAATTTCTGTTCTGCCAATATTCTGCTGACCGTCCGTGACCACCTCCCTCCCCCCAAACCACCCCGACCTATCCCCAGAAGGCGGATCCACTGCTTTTATACCATATCAGTCCAAATAACAGCGTATTCCACGCGCATCAAGTCATTTTGCACGAGATCCCGTGACTAGATTGCTGCTTTCAGATACATTCATGTTGGTTGGGTTTAGGTGATTAATGTTTCAAATTATTACTTAAGTCTGGTATATGGGGCAGTTTCTTTTGCCCGTAAGTGTAGTTGAGATTTTATATCGACAGTACGCAGTTACAGCCCTTCATTAGTTTCTGTTATTGGGCGTACCATTCCCTAATGAGTTAATTACAGGGTTCCTTTTGTGTTTTCGTCCTGATTAAGCGGGGAATTGATTATTACTTCTTAAAACAGACAAATCGAAGGGTAAGAATCTATATATTGTTTTGTAATGCAGTATAAAGGGTGATCGTTTGTCCTTGCCGCATCCGTGAACATTATGTTTAAGCGTGGGAAATGTCATCTGTACAGCTGGATAATAGCCTCACATTCATATCCTGGATATACTTTTGTGATATGCCTGTACCTGAAAACAGGTTTACCATTAATTTTAACACGTATTGGTTTTTTAGGACGTTGAGTGTTTCTACTGCATCATTATTTAATTCAATTGAAATGTTTATTGTGGTGCATACAATACAGTACAGGATCATTTTACAAATATACTCACGTGGTTCACTTAAGTACATTTCTGGTCTTGAAGGCATATTTGAAATATAACATAACATATTTAAAATCTTGGTAATTTGCCATAAGACAAATAAAGTGTTGAACCGACTGTCCAATATCATATTTATTTGGTATGTATTCTTTCGAATATATATTTTAAGTATTGACACATAAAAGTGAAATGATACAGATTTCACACATTTCTAACTGAAACATATTTTGATAAACGATTTTACATGTTTGTTACTGTTTGTTTTATAAAGATGCTTTTAAACCGATATCGATTTTTTATGACCACACTTTTTTACCATCACCATCATCGTATATGCAGTCCATTATCTTTAAGGACTTCATTTTGTTATACAAAGAATAATTTCAATGAAATATTGAATTTATTTTGTAGAAATTGCCAAAACAACGAACATGGGAAGCGAAATCATCCCTTAATGATCAGTGAGCGATACTGGTTTTTTTCTTTGTATCAGAATAACATATAATTATAGAAAAGGGGTACGAGGAGGCACTCTAGGCGTCCGCCCGGAGAGCGGAAGGTTCGGGGTTCGATCCCCGGCTGCGTCATACCAAAAGACGTTAAAAGATGGTACTTGTTGTTACCCTGTCTGGCGCTCGGCATTAAGGGGATAAAACAAGGACTGGTGGGCTCGGAGTCAGTATATTGTGTCTGAGTGGGGTATTTATGTTAAACTGCGGCATGGTATCTCAGTGGCCTAGCACTATAAATCGGCATCAGTCCGGACTAGTACAAGCAGCCACACAAACACACACACGTACATGGACGTCGCTATATAAGTGCAATAATCTTGGACGCGACGTTAAACCCAATTTCACCTCACCTCACCTCTAAGGAGTGTCTACACATTTTACGATCTTTTCCTCTGTCGAGTCTTCACAGCGATAACGTCAGCTACACGGTTGCGTCCATTGACTGCCATGCCATGCTGTTCATTGATGTTAGGTTTGAACCGTTTGATGAACCCAGCAGGGATTCCAGGTCGACTTGGTTCCCATCCACCTAATTAACTTGTTGTACGAGGTGTCGTTAGTGAACAGGTGGTCAGCCTTCTTGGTTGACTGCGTGTCAAGGTATCCCAACAATGTGGAACGTTGTTGATAACATTGTTATACAATTGTTGAATGTATACCATTTGTGTGTTGGTTTCACACTAAATTCTTTTACTAGATAACTAGATTTCTGTGTTTCTAATTGTTTCAATTAGGCAATCGACAAACTAATACAGATAGCGCATCCTCATCCGAACTCCGAACTGGTCCTTACAGTTTTCCATCTACGTACAAGCGATTCTACACTAGGCTAGTCTTCTTCCCTACTTCTGTTACTGCCTCCGTCGGTGGGAACAGCTTCCTCCTCTGCTCAGTTATCGATATAAACGGGGGCACGGGTGGCCCAGTCGTCTAAGGCGCCGCGAGTCGCTGTGCAGAGTTGCGTCCCTTGGGCACGCCAGAAACCTATGATTGTGGGTTCGAATCCCGGGTTTCCCCGAAGTGGTAAACGTCTGAGACCTGCATCACTCCGGGCTTTCCTCCCACATCAAGCTGACACGCCGCGGCATAACTGGAATACTGTTAAAAGCGGCGTTAAACCCAACTCACTCACTCACTGTTATGGCCGGTAGCACACTGGTGGCAGCGATAATACCGCGAAGGTAACGAAGGTGCCACGCGCTGGAAAGGTGCTCGCTCAGGCACGCCCAAATGCCGCAACTCTGCAGAGTGAATTGCGGCGCCTAAGACGACCATGCAACCCGTGTTACCAGTTGGGTCTAACTTTGCTTACCTCTGGTGACTATTGGGATGGTTCAAATCTGACGAGAGGAAGGCAATATTCTTTGGTTCATTGCATTGGGTTCAAAGGTTGATTTTCAAATTGGGTAGGGTGGGGTCAAACCCCATGACCTGCCCCTCCGGATGATTTTTTTTGCTACAATAAATTATCGTCGATCGAATATCGATAGCCCCTGTTCCGACATTCTCGTGACCAAGAATAGGACAAAGACAATGACATATTAGACTGAATGTTCCTCGACAGGTATATATCTGTCAGAAGTATCTCTCATGAACAAATTTTAGCTAATATTTTGTGAGTGAGTGAGTTTCGTTTAATGCCGCTTTGACTATATTTCAGGAATATCACTGCGTATCAACTTAATGTCTGAGGAAAGCATATACTGGAACAGGTTTACTCCTTAGATGGAACACAAGATCATTGGTAAGGCGCCAAAGACAGAAATAGCAAGCTGGGATCATAAGTGATCATTATTGTTTTAAAAGTACCATTGTCCGTATTGATCCCCCTCGAGAAGAACGTACACTGATCAAGTCGATCACGGTCTTCAAGTGAGATACAATGACATCTTGCGTTACTCGGTATGTATTCGTGAGCTAAATCAAGCTATAAACCGATGCCAAGTCAGTAAATAGACAGCCCCGTGTGGATTCCGGTCATGATAGTTTGAAAGGATCTCCCACCGTTTGACATGCATCAAATCAGAGGACGATACAATCAGTATTGCTGCACTTGACTCGTCTTTAAATGTCCCACAGCATCCCTCGTGACGTGGACCCAGGTGATAGCGGTCTCCTTGTCTCACAGTATCTCTCGTGACGTCCACTGTCTCACAACCAATGGCTACTGTTTCTTTGTATTCAGTATACTAAGTGGGAGTTGCCTACCTATTTCCATAAGGTTGAAAAGCCTCCAGTAGTACAAAAGCCTCAGTAAATCTAACGGATCAATATTCCAGCGTCCCCTCCCAGATCTGGTTATATAACCAACATCTTGTACGCAGGGAGAGTCTCCAGGGAGAGTTGAGCCGACGGATAAATCCTAAACTTACCGACAGTATCCGCCGTTACTTTATGCAGGTATTGTTAAAATGATGACACAATCTGGTCTACAGCAGCTGTTATTTCTAATGGCGGTGGCTTCAGCAGAAATGCGACAAGAACTTTATTCAGTGGCACGTGGATATCGCTTAACGAACCCACCCATGTCGACTGTGGGCTATAAACCTACCAAATGGTCTGCAATGTGGTGTCTGAATCACTGTCTGGCTTCATCTTGTGCAAGTGCTTCGTTCAGTCAGACTGAGGGTATCTGCGAACTACACAGTGTGAAGTTGTTCGATGGTGATTCAACATTTATGGAAAGCAACGATTGGGTTTACATGGAACCCAGATCAGGTACGATTGTTTACATTTGTTGTCTGTATACTATATGAAATGATATCCATACGTTCTCAAGAATCTTTCAGAATATAAATTATTTTAATCATCAAATATTTATTCTATTTTAAATCCCGGAAAGGGGTCCGAGAATTCATTTCCTTTATATTTTTGTTTTTGTTTGTTTGTTTGTTTCTTGTTCAACGCCGCAATGTTCTAATTATATGACGTCGGTCTGTAAACAATCGAGTCTGGACCAGACAATCAAGTGATTGTCCTTCATCGCATAAAGTCCTTGATGTACCCCCACATAATGTAAGTGAAGTGAGTGCTGGCCATTGTTACTAATTAAGTTAGTAAAATTCACAAGACTTTTTTCTCTGTGCTGTCTCCCTGAGTTAGTTTGCCATACAGACCCTGAAACCAATAAAGCCCATGTCATACTGATGTCATCTCCCGATGACTCTTGTTACCCTGGTAAGGATAGAAAAGATGATTTCTAAACGTTTTTCATTTCTGGTTAAAAATGAATAGAAACGTTGATAAGCTAATTGCTGTGTTACTGATGAAAGCAAATATACAGAACATCCGTCTTTGGTTCTGTGGGATTGGTACAAATAGACAACTGTCTTTTCAAATGATGTCAGAAGTCGGCTTCAAGCATTGTCAACTTGTGTTTCCTCACCTCGTTATTCGACACACGTTATTTGCAGAACATCCCCGATGTACTGACGTTTTCAAACAGAAGACATGGCTCTGTCTTTGTACTTCCAATAAAAATTTCTCTTGTTCGATGCTGCATCAATCACCCTGTCCACATAGTGCAAACAGAACCTTCAGATTTTGTAGAAATATTAAGTTACTTTGAAATCTTTGGAGGAGTTTCAATAGATCAAGTTGCCTTGACATAGGAATCACACAAGACTAACATCTAGTCTCTGAAATGAAGATATTTTACAGAATATAACATTTGTAAACTTATTGTTATAAACAATAATAAAAAGGAGCCAAGAGACTTTCTTCCTGATACTGCAGTAATCTAGACTTGCCAAACATTATAGACTTGCATGGACTGTATTAGATATATGTATTTCAGGGTCTATATGACAGACTAGAATAACACTAAATGCCGCCTCTGAGCTGGTACCCCTGAGCTCCTCAAAATAGATTTCTGTACATTGGACACTTACAACCCTCAGTGAGAGGATGTGTTTGGGGAGAAGTACTAGGTGCAGTAAACATTCCTGTCACACGCACCTTCAGTAGCATGTCAGTAATGGGTGGTAGGAATCTTTACACGTGCTATGAAATTCCAAGGATCAAAGCTATGCACATTTGTTTGAGCTCTGAAAATGAAGTAAGTCTTTTGGCTCCGTTTGATTACATTTTGTAACTATAACTTTTAAGAACTGTTTTTTTTCCCCCGTAAAAAATGTTCATTTGAGAGACTAGATGTTAGTCTATCTCGGGGTATATGGTGTGAAGTACCGCTTGCGGCACATAGACTACATCACCTTGAGACCGGTCGACAACTTATAGTTTTACCAATAAGGGCCAGGATATCGGTGTAATTATTTTCAGTAATTCTCACTTCATGTCGATCGGCTAATTAATGATAGTTGTTCCCACACTCCTCCGCAATGATGACTTGGCATTGCACCACTGCCATAAACCAATTTGCCTTGAACGAGAAATGACTCTTCTCTTGTTTGTACACACACTCGAAACTTGAAATGAGAGTAGTCGGTGATAATGGAAGTCTATCAGTTGGACAGACTGTTTGTCAAACTAATTAAGATCTCCTTCTACCACAGCGACATTTAGGAGTATGACATTGTAACTTACACACCAAAGTGACCTTATCGCCAGCTGTCCGAAGGTTTTCGCTGCCTGCATGTGGCGTGCACAACCATTGGCGTGTACAGCCATTCCATTCCAGACAAAGGTAAATGCGCAAATGGAAATAGCTTTTCACGTTTTATGACATTTTCTCAATGAAAATTAACCATTTTGTTGCACATAGTTATATAATTGTATAATCTGTTCGCAAGTGACAATACACATATATATCAGTTGTTGAATGGACTGTGTAAGTCTCAAGGGTTGTCACAGTTTTCTGACTTGTGGAGAAGATACCATGTTGAACGCAAGAAACTTAGGCTAGAGACTGAATTGTTTGAAAGTGGATGACGTCACAAAGATATAGCTTCTAATTTCATATCAAGTTTATGCCGCTTAATAATATGCCACTTGGGAAAAAGACTAAATGTAATGGGAACGAGCTTTATTACCAACGATGTTTTCTTTCAATTATCAACAACTTAAGCCATTGTGTCTATGCGTCCTAATAAGGAGAGCTAAATGTGTATGAATACAAAGTATGGACAATGCCAACATAGAGCCCATCGCTTCTGGCATGCACACCCGAACATCCTGCAATATAAATATGGAGAATGCAGAATACTTTGGAAATCCATGCTAATGAGTGAGTGAGTGAGTGAAGATGGTTTAACGCCGGTTTTAACAATATTCCAGCAATATCACGGCGGGGGACACCAAAAATGGGCTTCACACTTTTTACCCATGTCGGGAATCGAACCCGGGTCTTCGGCGTGACGAGCGAACGCTTTAACCACAAGGCAATCATGCTTATGGTAAACCTTTGTCCCAACATATTCGCCTCACTTCCACTAATGTTATGCATTATATGCATGATATCTTACATCGATGAAACAACACTGCTATTGCCGTACTGATGAATCAGGCACACGTCAGGATTGTGTTCTTTACAGAGCACGCTGATTTGAAATATTATACCTACATATGGATGAGCAAACACAACATGTTAGCTTATTCAAAGACGCAAATTCAAGAAAAAAACAAGCCTGCGGGATGATTATCGACATTGTTAGGTTGACATGCACAAATTTACTGCATGTAGCCATGTGAAAGCGTCAGATTGAAATGTTGTGTTGGAAAGGTGAGCCATCTGTCTGGAATTCATAAACGATAACCCATATATGATTCAGATGGTATGACAACATCATCAGCATAAGGGCCGCCCCCGTGGTCCAGCGGACAGAGCGTCTGGTCGATGGTTCGGTCCCCTTGCTGCCTCATACCAAAATGACCAAAGATGGTACTTGTTGTTACCCTGCCTGGTGTCGACATTAAGGGAGAAAAGCAGGGACTAAATGCCTCGCAATCCCTATAATGTGTCTCAGTTGGGTATCTCTGTGAAACTGCGGCATTGTATTAAAGTGGGCTAGCACTATGATAACAGCACAAATCCAGACAAGTACAAGCAGCCACGCAAACGTGCTTAACATCATAATATATTTGAAATATACTTGAACGCGACGTTCCACATTTTACCTCACCTCATCAACATTGGTAAGTTACCTGAAGTAGGTCAGTATTCGTCTACATTCGTTTGTACATGGATTTTTCAAACGCCTCATCCCCTTTGTTCGGACATTTTCCAATCAGACAGCAGGCAATTCTAAACAGAAATGTATTTTACATTTATCTCGAACAAGATCATTACACTTTATATTAAATGCTTGTGTAATTGAAGACATATATTATGCACATGTATCATGTTTACAATTTTGTTTCATTGAATAAACATTCACTGTAGGTATCCATTCTTAATTATGTTTGAAAATATACTCATGAATGAATGAATGAATGAATGAATGAATGAATGAATCAATGAATCAATCAATCAATCAATCAATCAATCAATCAATCAATCAATCAATCAATCCAAAGTAGTTCCAGAGTGGTCAAAGTTCGCGTATCAGCCTATCAAACTCCAAAACAAGTGCAATGACGCACCCGTTTTAAAAACAGTTTGTAATGTTTACCTGTTAACGTAATACCGCGTGGGTAATAATAAGTGACGTCGTTCCAGAATTAGATTGACTGATGTTTCTACTTGTGATCGGGAAACCCTCTGTGTTTCTTTGAAATGACTGTCTTGGGTAACTTATGGAACAACCTACTCCTAAGCCGTAGTTCCTCTTATCTTGTAGGTAATTCGTGAAATATAGGAATTGAAATATATATCTTGAAATTATGATGGACTGCTTTGATAGAATTGGTTGCACACCTTATGTTTCACATGACGTGTAATCTTGTGTAACGCCACATTGGCCATATTGACCTTTCCGGTGGTAGTCCATCAGTAGGATTCCTTTGAAATACCAGAAAACTGAAGCGATCACCTTGTCAGCTGATGGAACAGCTGATGTAACAGCTGACGAACAGCTGACGGTGGCTTCGTCGTAGGAGGAGACGTCAGATGTTTCCACTGTTTTGAATATTGTTTAATCTATGGCGTTTAACCCATGAATCATCCATGGTTACAAAATGCTTTACTAAAGCAATTCATTCTGCTTCGAAATGACGTTATTTCTCACGGGACGTACCTGAAACTGAAGGCTTAGAACCAAGAGCGCTGAAACCTTTGACATGCCCAGTTCATTCCTTAGGATGTTCTCAACCCTCTCATGAGATAGATGCCTATTGTTTTCAACGCGTGTTGAATCGTCGATCACCAATGATAATACCATGTATCTAATCAACATTTTGCTGAGAGGTGGCACAGGTTGAAGGTCTTCCTAATCTTTGATGATCCCTCTTCCTCTCATGAACTCTGCTGCTCACCTCCTAACAGTGACAAAGAAAGGAACATCATCCTCAAAGGTTGACATCATGTCCGCATGGATTGTAGTTGGAGTTTGTCCTTTCAGAAGGAGATACTTGATGGCAGCATGGTAGCCTGTTTTGTCCATTTTTATCAACAGAGAATACCAAGTCACTTTGATGCCTGGCTGGTTCTGTATGTGGTTCAAATGCATCCTGTTAGCTTGGAAAGTATTGTATTTAAGACATGCACACTTTTATGTGTGTACTGTATATCTGTCGTAGTTAGGCACATAACGTTTCAGCCACCCTTTGTACATCTTGTCTCGTAGGTGCTGGTTCTTCAGTAGTCTGAGGCACTGCAATTGCTTGTACAGAGCTACACAAGAGCAAGTGTTATACTAAATATGAGATGACGAACTAAATATGGGTTTCTTAATGACATACTGAGCTATGTTTAGCGGCGTGGTTTTACTCTCGGTCATACAAAGCACTGACTTGGTGCTTGAGAAAAGATCCTCGCCATTAGGCTCAATGACACAGTCAGCCTGACCACCGAATCTTCATTAGTCTCTTCCTCTTGCCACAAGCATGAGATACCGGGGAGATGTTCTTCTCGGGAATCCACCCAGAAGTAAGTGGAATATGAGGCTTTTAGAACATTGATTTTACATAAAATAATGTGTTTTATATCGCATATGATCTTGCAGATGTGTTGTCCTGGGACGGGTGGACAGTGGTGTTCCGGGGTCAGAGTGAAACAGGGACGTCCATCTACTCAGCGTGGTTGGACGACAACCTCTACCACGACCACCCACTTCTACCACCTCGATTGAAGCCTGGCTGTTTCTCACCCAACACATCTCGTCCTTGTGATGATCATTTCAGAAGCAAGATTATCTCTACATGGGAAACAGCTAGTGTACAGCTGGTACGCACATATGAACGATTTTAGTTCGTCTCACATGTTGTCTAAAGTGGTTTTCTTTGTTTGTTTGCGCCTAAAGGAGATAGCAAAACATAATTTCGAGAACTAAAATTTAATATTTGTTTATTGGCGTGTAAATGTTTTCCAACATATATATTACGCACGTACACACACACACGTACAGTCGTACACACACACACGTACAGTCGTACACACACACGCACACACACACACACACACACACACACACACACACACACACACACACACGCATGAGAGAAAATTGTATGAACAAACTAGCGTAGTAATCATGTCCTATACAACTAACGGCCTAATGACGACCACGATCATTCGTAATGCATAATGTTTATATGAAACAAGGTTGTGAAAAAAAGAGAATAATTCAACACGAGCGATACCATTCCGAACTGGTTCCATTGTATCAGACCAATGCAAGAGCACAACAGAAAATACATTTACAGAGGTGCAAAAGAATGTATATCGTGTTTGTTTTTATGTAACTGAAAATTGAAACAACTGTTTTTGAATTTTATTGGGTATATTTAACCTGCATTCATTCCTGAAACAGTTTATAGAAAGTAATCTGGGTAAGAAATATATTTGCAACCACGTGACCTCTACCATGTTTGAAATGTTGTTACTTTGTGCCTAAAAAAGCAAATTTAATTATTTTCAAAGACATCATGACTAGGTTTCCCATCAGCAGTTGTGTACTATGCGCATATTTTAATCTATTTTTAAATCAAAATATATTTTAAAGCAAAACTATGTAGAAGTAATTTATTAGAACTGACTAAGCGCCAGTTCATTCAGTAGATATATTACAACTTAATTTAAAATGAAACATGTGACACGAAAAATTTAGAGACATAGTTTCTTTTGCTCTTCAGTTTATTATTTACATTTAGAGTATAACATTCACATTTATTAAATGAAGTAATTCAGAGAAGGTATGAATCATCTGAATGTGTTCAGTTGTTATAATTACTCAATAGTTATAACCTCGCCATCTGTAAGCGATATGGTATGAACTGTCCGATTCTGAGAGACGAAGTGGCACCAGCATCAACATTGCAAGAGCCGAGTTAACCACGCCCCCAAACTCGGCATAGTCATCCATGTTACTCCTGATTATCATCTGTAGATACCTTTAATAACAAGACATGTACATTTCCGTAGATGCTGTTCAGATGTTTTCCCACCACAAGTGATCATTTCGGACGTCCACGCTCGTTTTTGTATTAAAATAGTTTTAGACACACTTTCAAACTTTTATTTAATGTTTCTAGCATTTTTCACTCCTTTCTTCTTTTAGATCTGTATATGATAGGCAATTACGCTTTGCAGATAATATACTCTTAAAAACACACACCGCAATACGGATATATTTGGCCATAAAAGCAAGATTAGCGGACTAAAAGGTGCAAAATGAAGAGGTTTAATGTGTGTCAGTGTCAGTGTAGTGTGTAGTGTCAAATGTCCCGGATCAAATTGATCACAACAAGGACATGCATTCCATTAGTCGGGAAACACGTACGATTAGGAAAAAACGCACCCAGTGGTCATAGAGGGCCATGGATCTGAAAGTGCTGCACGTGCAGCAGCATTATGAACGGTATTAAAGTGCAGGGTTTTTGATTGCCTGGCATCTGCGTCAACGGAACAGTGACAGTTCAACAACATGCCAATATTAACAGAAGTGCAAAGAAACAACGTCATAGGCCGCTTGCAGGCAGGGGAATCCCGATCAGCTGTAGCGAGGGTTTAGCGCTCAGCACCATCACAAGGCTATGGGATGGGTTTCAACAGCATGGGCCAACACGTGATCGGCCAAGGTCGGGACGACCAAGAGTAATCATCCCCGCCCAAGACCGCTACATCTGACTGCGCCACCTACGTGAAAGGACGACCACAGCAACCTCAACCGCATCCCAAATACCCGGACTGCGCTCCGATCAGACCGTACGAAACCGTTTAAGAGCAGCAGGTCTACGAGCAAGACGTCCTTTTCGACGCGTCGTATTAAATCGACAAAATCGTCAACAACGACTGCATTGTTGTCGTCAACACAGGGTATGGCCTCAACTGCGATGTAGAGATGTCTTGTTTAGCGACGAATCAAGATTTCTCCTCCGTCGAGGGGATGGAAGAGCACGAGTCTACAGACATCGGGGAGAACGTTACGCCGGAAACTGCGGACAGGAAGTGGACAGGTTTGATGGGGGTAGCGTTGTGATGTGGGTGGGTATCTCTCATCATGGCAGGACAGGTTTGGTCCATATCCAAGGCAATCTGACGGCTCAACGATACGTAAACGAAACTCTCCTACCACACGTCCTCCCAATTGCAGCCAACGGCAACGGTGTATTCAAGCAGGACAACGCTCGAACGCATACATCACGGATCACAAGAGCCTGTCTACACAACAACGTTGATGTTCTCCCCTGGCCCCAAGATCCCAGGATTTGAACCCGATAGAGCACCTGTTGGATGAATTGAATAGACGGCTACGCCGGCGTCAACCACAACCCCAGACGTTGAAGCAGTTGGCTTTTGCGTTGCAGGCCGAGTGGGCTACCATTCCCCAGGATGTTATTCGCATACTCGTCTCTTCCATGGGCCGCTATCGATTCCAACGGGGGACATACGCGTTATTGATGGTAGCTGACCTTCACCTTGGACTTTTCCTATGTACCCATGTAACTGAGATGACTACAATCTCTCCACAATATTTTGGCTCAATACCTTGTACGGTTCCTCGTATAAATGTATTTTCCTACCTCACACAAATCACACGTTTCTTTTTTATATCACAGTCCTGTGTAGTTCTGTATACCTCAGGACTTCCTGAGTGGTCGGTCATGTTGCTTGATTGACAGGCAGCGATAGGTTCATTACTACCTTTACTCGTGGTCAGTGTTAAGTGGTCAGTGTCCTTAAACAGCCAACAACATCATGCATATGAATTTTTGATTGATTATTGTTTAACGTCGTTGTTAAGAATATAAAAGCTTTATCAGGGCAAATTGTAAATAAATGTGTCGAGGTCATGCTGTAACATAAATTAGCGTGAATGTGTGTCTAACGTGTGTGATAAAAAGCATTTATCTCACAGCATTATCAAAAACAAGAGGATTTCTTTCAGGTGAAAGTGCTACTGATGAACAACAATCAAATTCGAAGTGAAATTATCTTTAATGGGACCGGAACTAACAAGATGTCCTGGTTTTCGCCTACCAGAGTGATTAGTTCAACATGGACTGATCTCACGACGTCATCTTTTAATTATTTCAGTATCACAGGGTAAGTATTCAATATATTTATTAGAGACCGATCATTTGAGTTTCTTGAGGGAGGAAGGTGACCTGGGATTTTATCGAAAAAAATATATGTACCAAGATAATGCTCAAAAATTATTTATGCTTCAGACTTTTGAAAACAAAATACACTGCCTGCCACAAAAAATCATTGCTGCCAGGTGTGTGTGTTTTGTTTTTAAAAAATGGAGAATATATAGGCTCTTAGTTTAAAGTTTTTAAAATGTCTGGTTTTGCAACTGTAGCTGAAAAGATATCAAGTGTCTTCACACAAAATCTCAGCCCCCCGAAATTTCAAATGGTAGGTCCCTTTATATCACGAAATGAAAATTTATATTAATGAAATAAATTGTGAATTTTACACATTTAAAGTGCAAATAAAATGTTCATGAATGATATATGTGATCGAACTGAATCGTTTACAGTACAAACATACGCATAAACACTAATTGTCGTGTACATGTAGATCTAACTAACATGTACAGCCATTGTTCAGTGAGTGAGTGAGTGAGTTTGGTTTAATGTGGCTGCTTTCAACTGTTACAGTATGCCATCTGTATCACGGTATGCCACCTCCATTAGGCAAGTGATGCAGATGTAAGAAGTTTATCACTCTGGTGAAATCCACGAGTACTGGCATGATGCTAAAAAAACCATAACCATTTAATCATGGTCTAGGATTCGAACCAGCAATCATACGTTTCTGGCACCACATAACGAACGTTACAATTGTGGCTACGACGAGGACTGGGCTTCCAGAAAACGTTGTGCTAAACTGACGGTGTCCGGACATAACCATGTACCTTTACATAAAGACGTGACATACGTGACAACGTACCAACTCATAAAGCCGTGATATACGTGACCATGTACCTATCCATAAAGACGTGATGTACATGACCATGTACCTATCCATAAAGACGTGATGTACATAACTATGTACTAATCTATAAGACGTGACATACATGACCATGTACTGATCCATAAGGCGTTATATACATGACCTTGTACTAATCTATAAGACGTGATATACATGGCCATGTACAAATCTATAAGACGTGATATACATGACTATGTACTAATCCATAAAGGCGTGATAAACATGACCATGTACTAATCCATAAGACGTGATAGACATTACTATGTACTAATCCATAAGACGTGATATACATGGCCATGGTCTAATCTATAAAGACGTGATGTACATGACTATATACCTATCCATAAGACGTGACATACATGATCATGTACCTATCCATTGACATTATGTACATGACCATGTACCCATCTATTAGGCGTGATATGCATGACCATGTACTGATCCATAAAGACGTGATATACATGCCCATGTACTGATCCATAAGACTTGATATACATGACCATGAACCTATCCATAGACGTGATATGCATGACCATGTACTGATCCATAAAGACGTGATATACATGACCATGTACTGATCCATAAGACGTGATATACATGGCCATGTACCTATCCATAAAGACGTGATATACATGACCATGAACCTATCCATAGACGTGATGTACATGACCATGAACCTATCCATAGACGTGATATACATGACCATGTACCTATCCATAAAGACTTGATGTACATGACCATGTACCTATCCATAAGACGTGACATACATGATCATGTACCTATCCATTGACATTATGTACATGACCATGTACCCATCCATTAGGCGTGATATGCATGACCATGTACTGATCCATAAAGACGTGATATACATGACCATGTACTGATCCATAAGACGTGATATACATGGCCATGTACCTATCCATAAAGACGTGATATACATGACCATGTACCTATCTATAAAGACGTGATGTACATGACCATGTACCTATCCATAATGACTTGATGTACATGACCATGTACCTATCCATAAGACGTGATATACATGACCATGTACCTATCCATAAGACGTGATATACATGACCATATACCTCTCGATAACGACTTGATGCACATGATCATGTACCTATCCATAAGACGTGATATACATGACCATGAACCTATCCATAGACGTGATATACATGACCATGAACCTATCCATAGACGTGATATACATGATCATGTACCTATCCATTGACATTATGTACATGACCATGAACCCATCCATTAGGCGTGATATGCATGACCATGTACTGATCCATAAAGACGTGATATACATGACCATGTACTGATCCATTAGGCGTGATATGCATGACCATGTACTGATCCATAAGACGTGATATACATGACAATGTACCTATCCATTAGACGTGATATATATGACCATGTACTGATCCATAAGACGTGATATACATGACCATGTACCTATCCATAAAGACGTGATGTACATGACCATGTACCTATCCATAATGACTTGATGTACATGACCATGAACCTATCCATAGACGTGATATACATGACCATGTACCTATCCATAAAGACTTGATGTACATGATCATGTACCTATCCATAAGACGTGATATACATGACCATGTACCTATCCATAAAGACTTGATGTACATGATCATGTACCTATCCATAGACGTGATATACATGACCATGTACCTATCCATAAGACGTGATATACATGACCATGTACCTATCCATAAAGACTTGATGTACATGACCATGTACCTATCCATAAGACGTGATATACATGACCATGTACCTATCCATAAGACGTGATATATATGACCATGAACGTATCCATAGACGTGATGTACAAGACCATGTACCTATCCATAAAGACGTGATGTACATGACCATGTACCTATCCATAATGACTTGATGTACATGACCATGTACTTATCCATAATGACTTGATTTACATGACCATGTACTAATCTATAAGACGTGACATACATGACCATGTACTGATCCAAAAGACGTGATATACATGGCCATGTACTAATCTATAAGACGTGATATACATGACTATGTACTAATCCATAAAGACGTGATAAACATGAACCTATCCATAGACGTGATGTACATGACCATGTACCAATCCATTAGGCGTGATATACATGACCATGGACCTATCGATAGAGACTTGATGTTCATAACCATGTACTAATCCATAAAGACGTGATATACATGACCATGTACTAATCTATAAAGACGTGATAAACATGACCATGTACTGATCCATAAGACGTGATATACATGACCATGTACCTATTCATAAGACGTGATGTACATGACCATGTACCTATCCATTAGGCGTGATATACATGACCATGGACATATCGATAGAGACTTGATGTACATGACCATGTACTAATCCATAAAGACGTGATATACATGACTATGTACTAATTCTAAATGACTTCATGTACATGACAATGGACCTATCCATAAGACGTGATGTACATGACCATGTACTAATCCATAAAGACGTGATATACATGACCATGTACTAATCCATAAGACGTGACATACATGACCATGTACTAATCCATAAGGCGTGATATACATGACCATGTACCTATCCATAAGACGTGATGTACATGACCATGTACTAATCCATAAAGACGTGATTTACATGACTATGTACTGATCTATAAGACGTGATATATGTGACAATGTACCAATTGATAAAGACGTGATATACATGACCATGTACCAATATATAAGAAGTGATATAAATGACCATGTACTAATCTATAAGACGTAATATATTGGACAATGTACCAATTGATAAAGACGCGATATACATGGTCATGTACTCATCCATAAGACATGGTAGACACTGCACATGGCCATTTGAACAAATGTGACGAAGTTTTGGAATTATAGACAAGAGGATATCTCAATTAAACAGTCATTCCTATTTTCAAATAATACATAATGTAATTGTAAAATACACTCTTTATAGGCAACCCAACATTCATCAATACTTAAACTAATGTACCCTCAAAGCAATGGTCTCTTGACAGACATCCAACTACTCGTCGCTTCATGATCAGCCACGCCTACGATTTCTGCCCCGAAGATGTAATGTGGATGATGGTCATCGATGGAAATGATGGAAGTCACCCATGTGACTGGGATACCCCAGCAATGATACCCAAGTTCCTCTACACCACCAACAGTGAGATGACCACCACGGGGACGCTAACAGGTAATTCATGACGACATGTACAGCATATGTCAGCCCAGTGCCGGATCCAGTGCTCTCCAAATCAACACGCTATCAATGGATTGGACAGGCCCCTTTGCTTACGCGTTCCGTCCATAACTTCGCGGTAAATGCGGCGAATGGCTCAGTCTTACTTTGCATCTATGCAACGGCTCATTATTTCACATTATTAGATAGACCATGTAAAAATATACAAGAACCAATATATGTTTATTATTTGTAATGTGTATTCTTTTTTATAAATACGGTTACCGAGACGGTGGCATCACAATGGCGATATATACAGATACAAAAGGGCCCACAATATTTGGTATAATCTGCGCAGGTATCCAAGGCACCGATCATTTCATATTGTGGAGGGGGTCTTGGATTATTTTGAAAAAAATAACAACAATTTTTTATCCAGACACAAAATTAAAGAAAATACTTGCCCCCAGTATTCCCTAAGCATATGTAATGTATGCAGGACGAGCTGTATGCTATGACAAAGAAAGTTTGAAAACGAATGCGTGTTTTAAAGCCTGTTTAAAAGCAGTGACCGAATAATACCCTTTATCTAATTCTATCACATATTGCCCCAGGATGCTTCTACCTCCTCCCCTCCCCCCCCCCCCCCGCCCCCCCACTCTCCCGCCCCCTGAAAACTCTAAACACACACACACGCACGCACGCACGCACGCACGCATGCACACACACATACACACGCGCACTGACGCACACCCACACATGCACACACACACGCGCGCACTCACGCACACACACAAACATATATACACACACACGCGCGCACTCACGCTCACACACACACACGCGCGCGCACGCACACACACACACCACACGCACACGCACGCGCGCGCACTCACACACGCACTCACACACACACACGCGCGCACTCACACACACACAAACACGCACGCGCACGCACACACACACACACACACACGCGCTCACACACAAATGCACACACACACAAATGCACGCACGCACGCACGCACGCACGCACGCACGCACGCACGCACGCACGCACGCACGCACGCACACACATACACACACACACACACACTGTTAACTATTCAACGTTAGCTGCAGCTGCTAACCATCATGCTTGCTTTTTTCAGATTTCGAGTACGGAGATGTCATGGCAATTCTTGTAAAATTGGGCAACTGAGTCACATCATATGAGCACAAAACGCAAATAAATGAAACTTCACATTTTCATAAACGAAAAGAAAGCACCCATTGAGTGAACTAAAATGCCCATATAAGTTCTTCTGTGACTTTGTTGTAAGCCATGTCCATGTTCAGAAAGGGATGCACATGTGGGTATCCATTTGAACATGGATGCCATCAGCACAGGTGGCCACAATGCTTGAGGATAGAAGTATTCAGATATTTCGTCAACTCCCAAGAGCCTCATCTTTACAAGAATCATGATGTTCAGTCAAAAGCACATTTTCTTGAAAGAGAATTTTCTGTTAATAACCAATGGAAGTCATAACATCCACAACAATGAACCACACCCACACATGGACTCATGGATATTCCTTTGCTTAACGTTCACGCACCAGTGACAAAAAGGATGTCCGATGCAATTCCCTATATTGACTTGTACAATATCGTCCCGTGATGTTTCAGGTGAACAATGAATGGCCTTGTCTTTACATGTGTTTGTGACAAAAACCATTTCGCACATGATAAAGTCGGAATCGTCAATCGAATCTGCTTTTAGATATAGACAGGGTTTTGTAGGTTTTATTTAGATTGCGGACAGGATTTTGTTTCTTTCATTCTTGCAAATGTGTTTGTAGTTACATAGTCAGTTACGAAGGCTTCATTTACCATTTAATATTAGATCGTAACCAATTCACTGTTCAACAGGGTCAGAAGCAGAGATTACTCCGCTGGAAACCATTATGGCTGCGGTCGTAAAACGCTCTGTATGTCAAGAAACATTATTGACGAGATCACAGGGAACGACTACAAATCAATTAACGCGTGATTCGATTTGCCTTCTTATGTGTAAAATAAAATTATAAACAAAATATGCTAAACACATTTGTCACGTGTTCATGAATGTTTTCCTTACGTTTTATGTGTTGGACAAAAACTTATGTCATCCGACAAAGCCTGTACAATAATGAATAGATCCAAACAATGATTCACGGCAAACTGATATGTTGATACACATAGAGTGTGAGTGAGTTGGGTTTAACGCCGCTTTTAACAGTATTCCAGTTATATCGCGGCGTGTCAGCTTAATGTGGGAGGAAAGCCCGAAGTGATGCAGGTCTTAGACGTTTACCACTTCGGTGAAACCCACGAGCACGGGTATGGTGCTGACAAACCTAGAAACATAATCGGGGCCAACCGGGATTCGAACCCACAATCATAGGTTTCTGGCGTGCCCAAGGGACGCAACTCTGCACAGCGAATCGCGGCGCCTTAGACGAAGAATAGAAGATAAAAACTGTTGTTATATCTGTAAACTCACGGATTACAACCATGTAAAATTGTTTTTTCCAAACATTCCCCAGTGATCACTCTTTCTCGATATGAACATGTTTGGCAGTGCGCATAACACCAATGGAGAGTGTACATGTACGTCCGCTTCATTAATTATTGCCATTAGCGTTGTATTGAACATCTCCGATCTGCATCACTTCTTGTTGTCCGGGAACATGAAGCTGGCACGCCTTGATGCAACTGTAATAGCGGCGGGAAATCAACCAGGCCCTGCGTTTCCTTGTTTTGAAAAGGTTTCTGCTCCGTTTTCTGAGGAAACATCTATTTATCACATGACAGTCAATGTTTACACATATCACAGAATAATACATCTACGGATAAGTGTACTACACCACTCACTCACTGTATTTGAACATGTATTTCAGACATGTACAAGTTTGCTGATCGATGTTTGCAACCTGAATCGAAAGCGTTGTCTATGGGTCGTGCTTTTGTTATCGCTATCATGAAAACTAATACCTATAGTTAGGGTAATCCATTTTGAGCGTTTTAAGCAAGAATATTCATAGGCATTTTTTAAGCACACCAACGGACGATTGAATGCATGATGCTTTGGCGCGCTCAGACACAAATGCACGCACGCACGCACGCACGCACGCACACACACACACACACACACACACAGACAGACACACGCACGCACGCACGCACGCACGCACGCACGCACGCACACACACAATGATCTCGCCTTTGCCAGCCAATGCAGTGATTTATGTTATCAGCAGTCGTCGTCGGGATACCTTGACAAGCAATCAATCAAGACAGGAAAGCCTGACAACCCGATCACTTACGTCACATCGTACAACCGCATATAGGTGGATGGGGACCGAGTCGAACCTGGAATCCCCACTAGGTTCATCAAACGGTTCAAACCTTACATCAATGAATAGCAGTTCACGGCAGCCAACAGCTCTCATTGATCATTTTCGTTTTATTTGGTGTGTTCATTGTTTTAGTATTTTCTACAAATTCAATTCAATATATTTTTAACTATTCTTTATATTACAAAATGACGTCCTTTGAGATAATGGACTGCGTTTACGATTGTTTGGGCCGTTGGTGAAAATTATGTTTGCAAATCATAATTTACGAATTTTCAATACAAAAATAAGGAAGCGGACATATAAGAGAAAACATACATGGTTTGAGAGCGTGTGTGTGTGTGTGTCGATTCTTTCGACATGGTATTATGGTATTGAAAATTAAAATAACTGTTGTTAAATTTGATTAGGTATATTTTACAATCACTCGTTTCTGCAACAGTTTGCTTAAGGAAATCTGTGGCTGGGTAATTTTGTGTAAAACAAATAAGTTAAATGAAAACTGGGGTAAGATATGAATCATGAATCATAAGCCTGCAAGTATTATGTCTGTACACGTGTGTATGTGTGTTTATATGAATCATAGGCCTGCAAGTATTATGTCTGTACACGTGTGTATGTGTGTTTTCATGAATCATATGCCTGCAAGTATAATGTCTGTACACGTGTGTATGTGTGTTGACATGAATTATAGGCCTGTATGTATTATGTCTGTACACGTGTGTTTGTGTGTTTTCATGAATCATAGGACTGGAAGTATTATGTCCGTACACGTGTGTAAGTGTGTTTACATGAATCATAGGCCGGGAAGTATTATGTCTGTACACGTGTGTATGTGTGTTTATATGAATCATAGGCCTGCAAGTATTATGTCTGTACACGTGTGTTTGTGTGTTTTCATGAATCATTTGCCTGCAAGTATTATGTCCGTACACGTGTGTATGTGTGTTTACATGAATCATTTGCCTGCAAGTATTATGTCTGTACACGTGTGTATGTGTGTTTATATGAATCATAGGCCTGCAAGTATTATGTCTGTACACGTGTGTTTGTGTGTTTTGGTGAATCATTTGCCTGCAAGTATTATGTCCGCACACGTGTGTATGTGTGTTTACATGAATCATTTGCCTGCAAGTATTATGTCTGTACACGTGTGTATGTGTGTTGACATGAATCGTAGGCCTGCGAGTATTATGTCCGTACACGTGTTTGTGTTTTTTCATGAAATCACAGGCCTGCATGTATAATGTCTGTACACGCGTGTATTTGTGTTTACATGAATCATAAGCCCGCATGCATTATGTCTGTACACGTGTGTTTGTGTGTTTACATGAATCATAGGCCGGGAAGTATTATGTCTGTACACGTGTGTATGTGTGTTTATATGAATCATAGGCCTGCAAGTATTATGTCTGTACACGTGTGTATGTGTGCTTACATGAATCATTTGCCTGCAAGTATTATGTCTGTACACGTGTGTATGTGTGCTTACATGAATCATAGGTCTGCATGTATACGAAAAAACAAAAGTTCCTGTGACATTGAATAAGATTTAATGCAAAGTTATGATTTTTACCAAATCTGAAACAATTTCGGTTTGCAACAGATAAAAAACTCCTGTAAGTGTTCAAATGGTTTAATTTGCCCTACTGACTTACGAAAATGCGTGATTTCATAAAAAAAACCATGAACATGACAAAATGGCAATTTACAAATCA